TGTCCGAAATGGGTATTTATCTTCTTGATAAAGTGAATGAAAAAGAAAAATTATTGGGTGGCTAAATATGTTGTTTACCTGTTAAAAACTTCTCGGTAGTACTATACTTGACCACTGGTATGCATCACCTTTGGCTATAATCCTAAATTTTACAGTTTCTTTACATTAGAACCAACATAAAATAGTAAAATAGAAGTTAATAACCACTCACCAGTTGAAGAAAAGAACTGCATTCCACCTTACCAGGCAGCAGGCACCAGCGCCGTCGACGATGGGGGAGAAGAGAAATTTTCTAGGGTTTGCATCGGGTTGAGAGTTGAGACTTGAGACTTGAGAGCTTTGATTTTGAATTTTCTAGACTCTGGATCTCTAGGAGACTGGGACATTGGTTTAAGTGCGTAAATAATTGAAGTATTCAACCCAAGTTTCTTTTTTTTTCCTTGGCGGGTCGGGTCAGGAGGGTTTGGGCAGTTTTTGTGGACCAACCCGTGACCCGACCCACCATGATTTAAAAAAATCGAACCCATCCAAAAAAATTGAAAAAATCAACCCAAACCGGTCGGTTTGGGTCGGTTTGGACGGTTCGAGCGGGTTGGGCTGATTTTTGCCCACCCCTACTTAAGAAAACCCATTGGAGCTCCTGTGACTGTACTCTTATTTGATTAACTTGCTTGGTGTATCTAGAAACTTTGCTCAACCTGCATTAAAACAGGAAGAAGAGGTGGAAGAGGTAGAGGTAGACCAAAGAAGACTTCCAGCTGATTATAATCCCGAACCTTTTGATCCCACAGAGCATCAGAGTCCCCCCGACCGAGAGGGTATGGAGACTTGTTGATGAAATATCTGGACTCCCACTGGTTGAAGCTGTAGAGCTCTCTTCTATTATGATGAAGAAGCTGGGCATGAAAGAGCTGCCAGTTGTTGGGGTCATGAAGCCAGGTGCTGCTGGAGTGGCTTTAGTGGCGATGAAAGCATCAACGGCAGCCAAGGAAGAAAAGAAACCAAAGAAGACAGCTTTTGAGCTGAAGATGGAGTCTTTTGACTCAGCTTCAAAACTCAAGGTTTGGACTAAAGGAAGCGAAAGACTTAGTGGAGAAGGTTCCTGCTGTGTGCTTAAAAAGGGGGTGCCAAAAGAAGAGACGAAAAAAATTATCGAGAATATGAAAGCAGTTGGGGCTGTCGTCATTATGGAATGATGTCAAAATGAGCATTATGCTCGTTTCATCATTAAAGTCTACTAAATTTAATAATTTTCTCAAGGAAAAGCAGCCTTTTTGTACTTTTAATTTCATATCTAGATCTAGAAATAGAAATCATAACAGGTGATGGATCCTCTAGAATTTAGTTTAGGTACTTGAAGTTGCTACTTTGTTTTGTCTGTCTCATTGATTCTGTGCTTGAAAGCTAAAATAGAATGAGCAAATTTCTTAGACCCTGTTTGGATTAGCTTTTTCTTTTTGCAGAAGTGCTTTTGGATGAAGCGATTTTAATTTTTGTTTGAAAACTAATTTTGAAAGCATTAGGGGGTTGTTCTCTTTGTATTTTAATTTTGTGTTTTGAGTGTCCATTTTGAAAATGTGTTCTTTTTAGTATTTTGAAAAATTGTTTTCAAAAAAAAAAAAAAAATGGAAAACTCATTTACTTTCCCCTCTCCTCTCTCTCTCTCTGTCTCTCAAGTGATTGAAAACACTCAAAACGTATTTTGAAAATTTTGGCTGGATTATAACTGAAAACACTCAAAACGACAAATTTGTCGTTTTGAGTTTTCTTTGTAAATTTTTAACTTGTTTTCAAAAACGTGTTTTCGAAAATAGGAAAGAGAATGCGTTTTCACTGTTTTGGAAAATTGAAAAAGAAAACGACTTGAAAAAGGTAAAGAGAACATGCCCTTAACTATTCTGAAAGTGCTTTTAGAGAAAATCACGTTGAATCAACTTCATTTAGAAACTCTTCTAATTACAAAAAGTACTTTCACAAAATTAGTTAAATTGGTTCAAAAAGTTCATTTTGACTTTTCAAAAGTCACACCAAACAGGTTTGTTCTTCTTGGCTACCCTGAATAGAATAACCATATTAATAAAAGTCGGTCTCTCTTCTCTCCCCCTCCCTTTGAAGTGCCTTTTCCTTTTACATATTTAGCATTGGAAAGTTTTGGACTTATTTTGAATTTTACCTTGAAATATAGTAACCTTATCTCACGTTCGAAATGGCACCTAGCTTTGGCAGCCTTTACTCAGCCAAGTACCTAAAGGTGTCAACTAGCATAGGACCTACGGCTTTTTACACTTCATTTTGTAATTCTCTTCCATTTTTTTTCCTTCTCCTAATAAGCCTTCCCCAGTTGTCCAACACATATCAGGTAGGGCCAGCCCTACTGTAGGGCCCATGCTGCATCTGCCACGTTTCTCACGATCTAACAGCACCTATGGTTAGTAGGAAATGAACTTGCAATAGCAAGAATATGCGTCGATTCCATGGGAAATGCGCGTTTAAATAGAAATCCTCACAAGCCAACCGTGGATGAATGCATATAATATTTGTGAGAATTGGATTTGTGAATATTAGTTTGATTCATAAACATGTACATGTTTTGACAACTAGAATTACTCACTGCAACTGTAGATCAACTTACAGAAATTTAAAATGATTTAGGATTCTAATTACTGGAAACTTCTGTAAATAAAACTTCTATAATTGCTAGAAAACTATATGATATAATGTTATGTAGAACTTATTCACTTCAGCCTATTTTTGTAAAGCCTTAAGACAAGAGCTTGCCACCCTCAATTTTGTCAAGAAATAGTGTGATATGTGTGCTACCACTCTGTTTGTAGAAATTTCATTGATAGGGAGCCAGGCAATGGCACACCATCATTACACCTAGATGATGCACCATATGCAATCATTACATGCAAACTATGGAATGATTACTTATAAACTGGGCATTCATTGCTTCTCTTTAATTAGTGAGCATGATGATGGTGATGGCATCATAGAGAGACATTCCTTGAGTTCGGTTGTTTCCGAATGATGGCTTTCATTGGCTAACTTACCAAGATGGTCCCTTTCGTCCTACCTCAATTGTTGACCCTTTTTTCCTTTCCGAAGAATAATCTCCTTTGACTTCTTTGAAGTAGATCCCCATATGATCCGAGGTGTCTACCTCACATCAAACACCAAGAATTGCCCTCTAAGATCAAAATTTTCTTCCTAAGAGTTCAGACCTTAAATCATTTTGTGGCTGATTTGGAAGCGGTATTTCTAACTTCAATGGGAGAAGCCTCCAACGATACTTAATCCACGGATGAGCAAAATAAAGGTTGCATTAATTATAAGGATCTTTGGGGAAACTGCTAAAAAAAATGCCAACGGAGTAAAAGAAGAGGGCAGACGAACTCCTCTATACACCTTATAAAAGCGTTGGATCTATTTAACAAAATCCTGGAGAATCTATTTAATGAATCATGGAGATGGTTGAGAGTTATGAGTCAATAGGATACATGGAACCCTATGTATTTATTAATATAACCTCAAAGCTTTTTGTAAGAATTCATAGCATTATGAATTTCGGGTCAAGAAACTTACTTGAAATGATGAATTCCAAGAACTTTTCATGGTTGAATCACTTTGCATTCCAAAGCTTCAAAATCTACATTTCCTTGCTCTCCAATGGTCGCAATCTCAATCACAATGGAAGGGGATTATTATCCACAATCTAA